GAATTTCACATACCCTTGGTTTCTTCTAGAAGGGACTGCAGTTTTAAATTCATCTGGGCCTCATAAACATTCCAAACGGAACTCCAACCATGACAATGCGGTGTGTAATTTCGATTCGCTAACTACTACGCAATGAGCCGACTTAAGTTACAGGGCAGCTGCGAATTTCAAGGAAGGTCAAACATTTTCCTATATATATATCATTCTTTGTTGTGATTGTCAATAAAGCAAAGTTATATTTACTATGACAATCAACTACATAACTTATTTTACTTTTATGAGTAGGGTTTTTAAAAAACGAGTAAATTATTTATATTTCATTTAAGGTGAATGAGGAATATTAGTTGAATTTTCGAATCCCGTTTGGGGTGTTGATGATAACTAGGTCAAAACTGCAGTCCACTTTGGATGAGATCATCTTTTTGCTAAGTAAGTTTATAAGAAATTTAATGTAAAAGTCAGCTCTATTGGTATCATTGTGGAAAAATTCAACTACAAGTCCTTCACCGCCTTAAAGGATATGGGATTAACACATCTATTTTGTAATGATTTTCATATTCGAGTTTATTTATTTTCTTGATTTTATTGTTCTCTTATGTAGCCAGCCTTTATGTCGAATTCGTGTCCCATCTATGCAATGTGTTCCGCTATTTATTATCTTCTCGTATCCATGTTTCTACAGATTCTTTGATGTTTCTTGATTCGTAAGCCGTATATTCTTCCTTTTTCACCTATTTACTTCCGCTCACGGTTGCCGCATTTGATGCAATTAACTCCCAATAAATCCAATTTATCAATTTTATCGTGTTGGGTCGGAAGACTGATGAAAAATGTTATATTTTCCTTTTTTATTACCTTGATATTCCATTATCTTAGTAATTGTCACATTTTTTGGCTCAGTTCACATGAGAGCAGGCATATCCTCTTTTGGTCTTCTCGATTCCTATTCTTATTTCTACAAACTCGGAGTTAAAATCTGCTCTTTATGAAACCATCACTTTAATTTATCTAAATTTTCTGGGGTACACGTTAGTAAGGCAAATCCAAGTCAGTTTGTCCAACTCCTTGTCTCAGAACTCAGTTTCCGTTAGTCGTAAGCTTCTGATGATCAGTATTCCTATCTTCAGTCTGTAGTTATGGTGAGATTGAAAAGTAAGGACTATTGCTGTATATGAATTCTTTCTGTATAGTCTCTTCATGAGTGTCCCGTTCGAGTGCATGACTTCATCATCCAGAAAGGTTAATTATTCATCCTCCTACTCCATTTTGAATGTAATTCTTTCGTCAATTTGGTTAAGTAAATTGATGAATTTATTCAAACTTTCCTTACTATGCGACGAAAGATAGGAAGATTGATGAGTTTGAGCATCAGTAGCATTATAATAACGAACATTCAATTCAATTACAAGGAGTTGGATTTGCTCTAGTTACATGTACCCCAGAGAATTTATAGGAAGAAAGTGATGATGTCATAAAGAGCAGATTTCAACTTGAATTTTATGAAAATAAGATCAAGAATCGGGACGATCAAAAGAGGATGTCCTTGTTCTCGTGTGAACTGAGCCAAAATAGTGACCATTACTAAGACAATGGAATATCAAAGTGATAAAAAAAAGGAAAATATAACATTTTTCATCAATCTGCCGGCGCAATATGATGAGATTGACAAACTGGATTTCTCGGGAGTTTAATGTATCAAATGCGGCAACCGTGAGCGGAAGTATATAGGTAGAACAGGAGGAAAACTCGACCTACGAATCAACGAACAGCAAAGAATCTGTAGAAACATGGATACGCGAAAATCCGAAATAGCGGAACACATTGCATGGATGGGACAAGAAATCGACAGAAAGGCTGGCTGCATATGGTGAAAATACGAGAAAACGCAAGATCCAAGAGGTCGTCGATATATAATAACTGAAAGAAATCTAATAAACATAAGACTTGAATAAGGCAGGATCTGCGAAAACTTTCTTATTGTCTAAGCAAACTCGGAAGAGATTAGGCAACAGTTAGATCAGCAAAAAGAAGACGGCTGGATGAAGGTAGCATCTTTAATTTTAGTAAAAGAAATTTCAAGTAGACCAGAAACCAACAATCGGAAACCAAGAGTAGACGTATACAGTGAGCCTAATCAAAACAAATAGAACCACAACATTTGTGGGTTGGCACTCAAAAGACTATGGCATGAGTAGTCATAGATTTGGCATTATGGATAGAAGAACGATAGATGCGGCGGAGACTAAGGCTATTTGGCTAACACTATACGGTTTGATCAAACACATAGTCCATGAAGTAAAGGCTTGGACACGTAAATTACTCGGCCTCTATAGGCTCAAGTTAGTCTCTCATCCAGCTTGAGAATTCAGCCTTTGTGGGCCTACTTAGCGAGGCGGGAGTATACGTGCCATCAAAGGCTTGAGGCAGAGTGTGGGTAAATAACGCCCTGAATGTCAGAAATAGGTTGGCAATGGTCGGGTTAAATACCTGAATCAGGGAGATAAGAGACGGATCCTACGGAGCAAGAGGGAGACTGATATGACCTATGAGAAGAGAATTGCGGAACAATATGGCAGACTCAACTCAATATTCCCTGCACGAGGGTGTGGCTTAAGGTGAGCCATGAAGAGGTCCCATGCAATCAGCTCAAAATGGCATATCATAGCACAGTTAAATAATCAATTAAAATTCTGATAGTGAGGGGGAAATGCGATGACATGATAGGTGAATACCCCAGGACAGAAGTAGATATATCACAACTGTTTAGCAGACAATTGGTCAAAGGATCGAGTTAATTTGTCTCTGAGTTCTAGTCTGGCTTTCTGGCGATGCCGGCGATGCGTCTGGGAATGTACTAAGTTTACTGTTCGACTTGCATGCATAATATGGACGCAGGACTAGGTGCGTTCCTCTAGGTCTTTCTGCCAATATGACCAAGCTGCGAAACCAAGGTTAAACAAGTCCATTATATATAAAGATTGAAATCCTAACATCATGATCGAATAACTTTATATTCTGCTTCCTTATTTCAGATAACCTATCGCCTTACTCCGGTTCCATAACTCCAGGGGCCTTGAGGTCTGTTGCTAATTCCAGTCTACTTCGCCCTCTAACCCGACAATCCAAATTATGCGACTTAATGGATAATGGTTGTTTATCGGCTGGAATTCGTCGGTCACCTTCGCAACCCAATCTATATCGACCTTCACCTGATACTGATATTTCATACCATGGTGTTAATAGTTCATATGGAACAACCACACCTCACGCCGCAGCTGGCAACCTTGCGCGTTACTCACAGGAATCAGGTTAGCCGTCTTTTTTGGTTAAACACAAGTATTGCACTCACTTTTTTTAAGAAGGCAATATTTATCATTCAAAAAGATCTTAACTTCTATCTTAGTCTCTAAACTATATTAATTTTTAGAAGTGGGTTGACCTCGTTGTCGCAACTTGGTCT